TCTTTTTGGTCATTGCATCCTGTAATTTTTCCAAAAATGACAAGAAAAACACCTATCATGAATGCTCCAAATATATTCACTGATGGGTCAAATAATGGTACAGCAGCAATAGTTACACCTGATCAAACTTTTACATTTTTAGTACCCAAACAATCAGCTCAAAAGGTAGAGCTTAATGCAGTATTACAAGCTTTTGTGATGTTTAAAGATTCTGTATTTAATTTATTTTCCGATAGTCAGTATATAGTTAATGCTATAGTATCCCTTGAAGATGCTGGTAGGATTTCCCCTTCCTCTACTGTTTTCTCTTTGCTTTCCACAAAGTCTAATCTGGGACAGAAAAGATCCATTCTTTATAGGACATACCAGGGCACATACAGGATTGCCTGGAGCCCTTAGTTTAGCAGATAAAACTACACATGACATACATATTTTCTCTACACTAGAAGAAGCTACAAATTTTCATAAGAAGTTCCATGTCAATGCTAATACTTTACAAAAGCATTTTAAAATAACTAAGGAACAAGCTAGACAAATAATAAAACAATGTCAAAATTGTGTGACCTTTTTACCACAAGTTAATCTTGGAGTCAATCCTAGAGGATTGATACCTAACCATATTTGGCAGATGGATGTCACACACTTGCCAGAATTTGGAAAATTAAAATATTTGCATGTTATAGTTGATACTACTTCTGGATTTTTGATGGGCTCCCTTCATGCCGGAGAAAAAACTAAAGATGTTATAGCTCATTGCTTACAAAATTTTGCCACTGTGGGCATCCAAAACAGTTAAAAACAGATAATGCCCCTGGTTATACTTCTACCTCTTTTAAACAATTTTGCTCATCATTTGGCATTACTCATATAACAGGAATCCCATACAATCCACAGGGACAAGGCATAGTTGAAAGAGCTCATCAAACTATTAAAATGTACTTATTAAAGCAAAAAGAAGGAATTGGGAAGGGGTACATATTCTCCAAAGATAAACTTAAAATAACCCTTTTTACTCTAAACTTTTTAAATTTGGATTCATCAGGGCTTAGTGCTGCAGAAAGGCATATGTATCCAAAAAATGTACATAAGCCCAAGGTACTTTGGAAGGATATTCTAACAGGACAATGGAAAGGTCCTGACCCAGTAATTGCCTGGAGTCTCGGGGGTCTGTTTATGTGTTTCCACAGGGAGAACAGCAGCTGATTTGGATTCCAGAAAGATTAACTAAAGCGATTTCTACAGACCAAAAAGAAGATGATTTGGCTCAAATCCATAATAGCTGATATCCAGAACTCCAGTTTGGCTACCCTTACATCTGTGACAGAACCAGGATGCTTTTTTCAATATCTATTTTATTATTGCCCTTTCCCACATCATGAATTGATAACCACTTACCACCTAATCCTTTATTGTCTTTTTGGTCATCGCATCCTGTAATTTTTCCAAAAATGACAAGAAAAACACCTATCATGAATGCTCCAAATATATTCACTGATGGGTCAAATAATGGTACAGCAGCAATAGTTACACCTGATCAAACTATGAAGTTCTATTTTGTTTTTTGAGCTCATACAGACCTAGGTTAATGTTTTGCTGATCAGTTCTATTTTTTTGACTAGAGTTTTTAAACATTGCAATGGAGATTTCACCTGTAAAAAGTTATAAGGCCTTTACTATTATGTGTTGTGTGCACACTTGTGTTTTATGTTGTATGTTTGTATGTACGTATGTCCATATATCATATATGATGAGCGCTCATGAAAAAATGGATCCAAATTTTTTTTTTTTTATTCACGTGATTTAAATGGTTTAATTTAAATTGGGTAAAAAACTGTTGAGGATTGTTTTAATATGTGAACAAAAAAGGAGGTTAACAGATCTGTTTGTTTACTTTCACCTTTTCATTATATTTAATAATTCTGTTCAAGATAATGTAAATTGTTCAGAAAATTGTTTTCTTTTAGTGCCTTCTGGAATGTTACGTAATTTTTTCTTTAGCCATTATTGCCAGAATTCCTATCTTCATCCCAGTGCTGGTGAAGACAAAGATAAAACCAATCTACAGCTTCTGCAATAGCCATCACTGAACTGCTTGCAGAACTTGCCTGGACTATGTATCACTTGTATGCATTGTGAACTCACCTGTATGCATTGTGAACTATCTGTTGGTGCAGCGACTTGTGGTAAGTGTTGGGGTATTTTTGCTGATGATGTCATCGGTGGTACAATTTTTCCAAAAGGAGCCGTCAATTGGCTTGGTGTATCTTCCTCCCTTCTGCTTGTCATGATCGTTCAGCTAAAATTTGGGGGCCAACAGAGGTGAGGCAAAGAACCTCACCCCCCAGCTGGTACAAAGACCTATCCACAGGTGTGGCTGTATACTGGATCGGTAGTCAGTGATGGGTAAGATCCAATTGCAATGGTACCAACCTAAGACAGGAGGCAGACGCCTTGAGGTCAGCTCATCCGATAATGGGTAAGGACCATATGTACTATTGGACAACCTAAGGCAGGCACGGTCCCTAAGCCACATGCTTGTTTAAACAGAGAGGGGAGATGTTGAGAGCCACTGCGGCCCCAGCAACTTCTAGCTGATTGGCTCCTCTGCGGTGATGCTCATTGGGCTGTTTCCCCGCCCTTTCAGACTACAGAGCTGCTCATTGGGGGACTTTTTTTGGCTCCGCCCACGCAACCCAGCCAATCGGCCTCAAGAGCAGGAGGAGTGGGGGAGGTTGAGAGGCTTGTGGGAAGCCAGTGGTGGCAGTTGGGCTCTGAAGGTTTTTCCTGAGGAGCTGTTTTGTTTGGCGTATGTGGTTCTAAAAATAAAGTTCGTTTCTTTTGACAAGTGGCTCCTGAATTGTGCCCAGCCAGACTGCGGCACACACCTTTAATCCCAGTGGTTCTGGAGGTTCAGGTAGGAAGATTGCAAGTTCACAGGTCAGCCCCAGCAACTAAGCAAGGCCCTAAGCAACTTAGTGAGACCCTGTCTCAAAAGAAAAAATAAAAAGGGCTAGGGATGTGGCTCAGTGGTTAAGTGCTCCTGGATTCAATCTCTAGTACCAAAAAAAAAGTTACTCCCAAGAATAGGTTAGACTTGTTCAAAAGGAGACTCACTCTTCTTGTTTAATCTTCAAATCAGATTTTTAAAAAATATTTATTTTTTAGTTGTAGTTGGACACAATACTTTTATTTATTTATTTATTTATTTATTTTTATGTGGTGCCGAGGATCAAACCCAGGGCCTCACAGGAGCTAGGAGAACGCTCTACTTCTGAGCCACAACCCCAGCCCTCAAATCAGATTTTCAGCAAGTTTTTTTTTTGGTACTGGGAATTGAACTCAGGGTGCTCTACCAGAGTTGCATCCCCATTCCTTTTTTTTTTTTTTTTTTTTAATTTTTAGTTGTAGAGGGACCCAATACCTTTATTATTTATTTTTATGTGGTGCTGAGGATCAAACTCACACGTGCTAGGCAAGCGCTTCACCATTGAGCTACAGTTCCAGACCACATTCCTTTTTATCTACTTTGAGGCAGTGTCTTTTAACTAACTTGCTTTGGACCTCTTAGTTGTTAAGGCTGATCTTGAACTTGTGACCCTTCTGCCTCATCCTCCCAAGTCGCTGGATTACTTACAGGTATGAACTATTGCACCTGGATGGACAAGAGGTTCTTTACAATGTATATATCTGACAGACCTAAAAATCTCTTCCAAAGATATCTCTGGCACTGTGGAGTGAGCTCTTCAAAATCCACAGTAAACCAGTCATAGTGATACATGCTTGTAATTCTAGCTATTCAGGAGGCTGACGCAGGAAGATCACAAGTTTGAGGCCAGCCTGAGCAATTTAGTAGACTCTGACTTAAGATAAAACTTAAAAGAGATAGGGGTATAGCTCAGTGGTAGAGCCCCTTGCCTACTAGCAAGGCTCTGGGTTCTGTCTCCAACACTGGGGGGGAAAAAAATCTCACAGCAACACACCATTCCCTCTATTGGCCACTAATCTGCCACCACACATGGTTAAATTCTGCTGTTAATTAGAGTGTCCCTTTTGAAATGGTTCCTGAAATCTTTAAAACTGTGCAATGAAATTATTTGGTTTTTGTTTTGTTTTGTTTTTAATATTTATTTTTTAGTTTTCGGCAGACACAACATCTTTGTTTGTATGTGGTGCTGAGGATCGAACCCTGGGCCGTACGCATGTCAGGCGAGCGCTCTGCTGCTTGAGCCACATCCCCAGCCCCTTATTTGTTGTTTTATAAATGAACAGACAGTGGTGTCCCAGAGGAGAACCATAACTAAAACTGAAATATGATGCTGTGATAAGAAAGCTATAACTAGCTATAACTATGGTGGTTTTGTTTTTCTAGAAAGTCTAGCGCACCTGTAACAGATTAAAAGTAATTTATATTTGCTGGGTGAAGTGGTATATGCCTGTAATGCTCGAGAGGCTGAGGCAGGAGGATGGTAAGTTCCAGGCCAGCCTCAGCAACTTAGTAGACCCTGCCTCAACATAAAAATGAAAAAGGCTGGGGATTACAGCTCAATGGTAGAGCACCTCTAGGTTAAATACCCATCACTCCCTCCCCCCAACACACAAAGTATATTTGCATTCTAATGTTAATTTTTAAATGGCAATTTTGACAAAAATGTATCAACTAAGCATTTCTAACCTGTCTACAGACAACTATATGAATTTCTGACCAGTATTAAAAAAAAAATCTGTAAATCTTGCTTTTAGGATTATTAACAAGTGAAAATCAGTATAATAGCACCTTAATGGTTTTTCTTTTAGTAACAAAAATCTCTCTTCAAGCAACTCGTAATAGTCTTATAGGGTTTTTTCCCCCTCCTTGGCTTAATTAATATTCCTTTCTCATAGCAACTTATTCCTCATTTTTGGGTTCCATAGGCCCATTAAGCATGAGTAAAAGAGAAAAGAATTCTAATGTTAATTTAATTCTAAATTAAAGAAATTTAGAATTGTCTGCAAGTCCTTCCTCAGTGAACAAAAGTAAGTTTATTAAATCAAATCTTGAAAATGTATGTGGTGGTTGCAGGGCAGGATCTTCTTTCAACAGCATAATCTCCAGAAGAGTAGCACTCATTTGCTGGCAAAGGCCATAATCTGTTCCTGGAGAAAAATGAAACAACGTGAGCGATGGTCTGGCATCTGAAGGTGGAAAGGCAAGCCAGGAAAATAGTTCAAAATGAAATACACAAGGTGTTACAGCAAAAATTTAGCAAAAGTTCCCTCCTCCTAAGAAGAGTTCCTGCTTTCTTCCAGCTTAAAAATAAATGAAAATATTTTTAAATGGAAGTGTTTCAGGGTAGAAGCTGGCCAAACAGCAAGAGGAGCTGAAACAACTTCATCGTTACAATTCCCTGTCGCTGTGCTTAAGCCCTTCCTGTACCATATCGAGTTGCTGTTTAGGCTTGTTGCACCTCAGTGACAACAAGCCCAGCAAGCACTCCTGCACATAGCCAGTGCAGAAGCGAGACAGATACAGATAACAAAGGTTAGTCATGAAAACTAAAGAAATTTAGAGTTGTGTGCAAATCCCTCCTCAGTGACCAAGAATCTTGGAGAGCCCCGAGTGGCCTCTTACTTTGAGTGGAGACATTGCATTAGTGGCCTGCAAACCCCACGTCCTGAGCAGCACAAGTGGAGCGGCTCTGGTGGAATACAGTCTTTTCAGTAAGTCTGTGGCAGCCAAAAGAGCAGTGTTGTGGCGCTGTCTGTCTGTTTCATAACCTGCAAGGTGGCTCATAGAACCTGAAGGAAAGAGGAAAGGTTAAACCCCTCATCTAATAAAGGTTTCTTTCCTCTCCTACCAAACCAGATACATGTTTGTCTACACTGTTTTGCTCTTGGGGGCCATTTTGGGGCTGTGATCTTTAATTATGTGACCGCTGGATACCTGAAACTTACCTAAGTCTTTCCCATTGAAGGCTGCAGTACTGAGATGATGGACCAAGCTGGAGATATCCCCAAAGCCCATGTTGACACCTTGTCCTGCAAGCGGGTGGACTCTGTGGGCTGCGTCCCTAAGAACAGAGCAGCATTCAAGTATGGCCTCCAGAAGCATGGTGAGAAAGGAGAGAGACCCTGCTCTGTTGCTCTTACCCAATGAGTGCCACCCGAGGCCGGACATACTCAGCAGCATGTCCCAACCCCAGAGGAAAGAGGACTCTGCTTTTTGCATCCACCTTTGCTACACTTGGGGGTAGCTGGCGAGCTGAGACCTTAGTGGGCTTCAGAAGGGTGACAACATATTGCAACGTGGTCCCAGCTGAATCAATGAAGTCCATGTGGTTTGCATCACTCCACTGAGCAGTATCAGCCACATAAACAAACAAACAAACAAGAAATTTGATCAGTGACTAGCAGGGAATTAAAAATTGAACAAGGAAATCTTTTTTATAGCCAAAGCTAAGGGTAATGCTAACGAACATGCCTAAATTGATCTTGAACATGAGTGACAAGCCCCTTAAATGCACAGGTTTTAGAATCAGGCCAAAGAGCTCCTGAGCTGGCCCCTGCCTACCTCTAAGCTACACTCTTTGCTAGTCCCCATCCTCAATAATGTCGCACCAGCTGCAGTGTAGCTCCTTCTACAGTATCCTCTTCTCTCCAGGACTCCTCTCTGCTTAGAATGTCCTCCCATCTCTTCAGCAGAACATCAGAAGATGCCACCTCTTTTTGTAACACACCCCCCAAAACACCTCTGTGTGTTCTCCCACAGCATCCTATGTATACTATCCCCATACTGAGGTCATCACTCATGTATTTTGTCTTCACTTGACTACTAGATTCCTGAAACAGGGACTGTTGCTTCTGCCTCTGTCTCCAGTGTCTGCTAGACAGAAGGTGCTCACAGTTGTTGGATGAATGTACTACAAAGGTGTGAGGGCTGTGCTAGGAATATATACTAAATGACCTGAAGGGGGAGCAGTTACCATTTATCCTGGAATCCACTTCAGTAAATTTAGTTCTTTTTATTCTTTTTTTAATATATATTTTTTTAGTTATAGACGGACACAATACCTTTATTTTATTTGTTTATTTTTATGTGGTGCCGGGGATCGAACCCAGTGCCTCATGCATGTTAGGCAAGCGCTCTACCACTGAGTCACAACCCTGGTTCCAATTTCCTTTTATTCTTATTGATACTGCAGAGCAGTGGGTTTAAATTCTTCAGTGTGAACTCTTTAGTGAGGTAGTAGGCTTGGTTAAAACAGCTTCTAAGGGCCAGTCTGATTGTAGAACTCACTTTTGTCACTAAATGTGTGATCTCAGGCAAGTTCCAAATTTCTCTAAATGAGGATAATAGTAGTACCCACATTAAAGATTTACTGAGTTAAATAAGTATGTATAAGTAACATGATAAGTAACACTATCCTAGTACACGGCACACATTATGCATTCAATAAATCTTAACAATTGTTACTATTAGTGAATTCAGATGTGGAATATAAGCTCCAACAATACTCTTGCCTATATTATCTACAAGCTGTGCTTACTTCAGAACAGTGATTATTGTTTGTTGAGTATCTACAATGAACTATGTATGTTCCAAGCATTTTACATAAATTCTCTCATTTTATTTGACTTTTATTTTTTGTGGTGCTGCTGGGAATTGAACCCTGGGCCTCACTCATGCTAGGCAAGTAGTTTACCCCATGCCATTTCCCTTGCCCAATTCACTCATTTTAAATGTCATTATTCAGTCCTGACAAATTGGTAACTCCATTTCTGGGTTTTTAAAAGTTTTTTAAAATTTGTTCTTATTAGTTATACATGACAATAGAATGTATTCTGACATATATATATGGAGTATAACTTCCCATTTTTGTGGTTGTACATGATGTGGAGTTATACTGGTACTATTTCTATTTTTTTTTTATGAGATCAACAAATAGAAACAGTATGGAACTCCTATCTTTCTACAAAGACCACTCTTTTTTTGATGGACCTTTATTTTATTCATTTACTTATATACGGTGCTGAGAGTTAAACCCAGTGCATCACACATGCCAGGCAAATGCTCTACCACTGAGCCACAACCCCAGCTCCAAAGACCACTCTTTTTTGAGACAGGGTCTTGCTAAGTTGCTGAGGGCCTCACACTAAATTGATGAGGGTGGCCTTGAATCTGCAATCATTCTGTCTAGGCCTCCTGAATTTCTTGGATAATAGGCATGTGCTGTCAAAACCTGCTTACAAAGCTTACTTTCTCTCTCTCTCTCTCTTTTTTTTTTTTTTTTTGGTATTAGGGATTGAACCCAGAGGCACTTATCCCGTGAGTTAACATCCTCAGCCCTCTTTATTTTTTATTTTGAGACAGGGTCTGCTAAGTGCTGAGGCTGGCTTTGAACTTGTGATCCTCCTGTCTTAGCCTCCCAAGTCACTGGGATTACAGACATGTGCCACCATGCCTGGTCAAAGCTTACTCTTAAACTGTGTTGAAATGTGCTCAGCCCTTCCCTGGGAATACTTTTATTCATTAGGTTTCAAAAGTGTAGATACTTGGGACCAAGTAGAATTGTTCAAAATTATGAAAATTCTATGGCTTAAAAAAATGCAATGGTAACCACCTAGGCAACTGTTTTAGTCAACATAAGAGCATACACAACCCTCAGAAAAGTAGCACTGTCGTTATTTTTTTTGCATTCCCCTATGTGCCCTGCTCCACGTAATCCTACCAGCCATTTACAGTTACAAGGAGGCAGCTGCTTGGTTAGTCCTTTTTCCTTACTTAAAACCACCCTCTGAATCCACCTCTGCAACACATCGTCAGCTGGACATATTGGTACTCACAAAGGCAGAGTTAATGGCATCCACAAACTCTTCCTCATCCATGCTTACTAGCTCCGCAGCATGGTCATGGGATGTCGACCAGACCAAGGAACTCAGGGTATCCGAGAGCTGTGTCAAAAGAAGGACACCCATACTAAGGCTAAAACTTCTGAACTTGAGGGACTCTCAAGCATAAAGGAAAACAAGAAAATGTAGCAACATGAGCTAAGGCATATTCCTCTAAAACCAGAGAAAAGGCTGAGAGAAAGAGAAGTCCTAGAAATGAAGGCTTGCTTTTGAGCAGACTGGCCAGAGGACCTCTTACCGGGAGCAGAGCAATAGGCCCAGAGGGAAGAAATCTCTGCCAGGCTACATTGTTTTCTGTGGCCTGCAACACAGGGGAAAGGTTCTTATGAATACCCAGTGTCTATGAGCAGGGTTTCCAGATAGAAGCTCCAGATCTCACCTCTGATAAATGGAGAGTAGCCACGACAGCAGACTGGTCATAGTTCCAACTAACATTCTGGATTCCAGCAGCCTGCCGTACTCCTGAGTTGTAACCATCAGCACCAATCTACTTGGAGACAAGAGTCTGCTAAGTTTTACAACCTCGTCATAAACCAACTGCTCCAAAAGTCTCTCTTTTGCCTTGAGTTTTCTCTAGTTCCAACTGCTGGCAGCCCACCTGTGACAGGAAGCTTTTTATATATATATATATATATATATATATATATATATATATTTATTTATTTATTTATTTTTTAGTTTTCGGGGGACACAACATCTTTGTTTGTATGTGGTGCTGAGGATCGAACCCGGGCCGCACGCATGCCAGGCGAGCGCGCTACCGCTTGAGCCACATCCCCAGCCCAGCAGGAAGCTTTTCATCAGGCCTGTTTCACTCATTGCCCTAGAAGGGCAGCTCTACAGTGACTTCAGCATCAGCTAATGGAGCCAAAGTGGACATCTGACCCGAGAGGTGCCAGCTATAGCTGAACAAATTGATATTTGTCAGGGCAAATATTTGCCAACCAGCTGGACAAATTGATAATAAGCCAGGTTCTCTTGATATTTGAACAAGAGGGCAAGCACCAGAATTGTAAAAGGTAAAGCTGGTGAGATAAAATGAGGGAGAAAAGCAGAGAGCTGAAAGATGAATGACAATGTGACTCCTCAGAGGGCAAGAAGAGCTTCACCTCTGGCACTCTGGTTCCTATCCCTGTGAGGCCCAGCTATCCTTCTATTCTTCATTTCATGACCTAAAATAGCCTGAGATTGCTTCCTGTACAGGATTTATAAGATCATCTTAACTTGGGCTGACTTGAATGGGTACTTTACTGGTCATTATATAACCAACAGCCTTGCCCAAAATTAATCTATGGCTTAGGTCTAAAACTAGAGGTCCTAGAATGCAGGATAAGATGTAGCCATGCAAGACCCCTGGCAAAATAAGAATCTTTAACTACCAACAATTTTGTCTGGAGGGTGCTGCCATCACCTAGGGTAATATGGACCCAAGGGCTGGAGTCTGCCATGGAAAATGGACCAGGCCAGGTGTAGCCAACAGCTTTGCTCCTGTACAGCACAGTCACTCGGTCTGGGAAGGTCAAAAGAGAAAAAACCAAAATATTAGAAAAACAGGCCAAAGGGCTGAGGGAAAAGCCATATCTAAATCTAAAGCAAGGTCCCAGGACAGGATATCTTGTCATTTACTGCCAAATAAGATCTAAAAAGTAACTTCAAAAATGAAAGTAACTCAAGTAATCATGCTACAGTCTGAGAGTGGCTAAATCACAGAAGCCACAGGGATGACTCAGTGTAAAAAAAAAGAACGGCATTTAAGCTCTCTGTGAATTCTCACAGGAGGCTTTCTTCTCTTTCTTATAGTTTTACTCTATACCTAAATGAGCCCACCTATGATGGCAGAGCAGACAGGGTAGGAATGCAACAGGCTAAAACAAAGATTTTTCTTCCCCCTAGAAATAATTTTTTTGTTGTTCATAAAAACAATGTGCTCTAGGTTGTTCATTGAGTATTAAATCACAGTTAGATAAAAAAAAAATAAGTTCTTGTGTGCTACTGACAGTAGGGTAAACAATAATAGTGTACCTCATAATAGCTTAAAAGGGAATTTTCTTTTCTTTTCTTTTTGCAGTGCTGAGGATCAAACCCAAGGTCTCATGCATACCTGGCAAGCATTCTACCACTGAGCTACATCCCCAGCCCTAAATTATTTTTCAAAGTTAGATGTTGGTCAAGTATCCTATATCAAAAAGCATTTAAATTGTTTCTGAATCCTCTCTCACATATATGTACATATGCAAATCATAGAGCTGACAAGAAATTTGTATTCAGAGTATACAAAGAACTACAACTTGAGAACAAAAATATAAATAATCCAATTTAAAAATCGGTAACTTTTTATTTTTGGTGGGTACCAGGGATTAAACCCAGGGGCACTTTTGAGTGGCACCCACACCCCTTTTTTATATTTTATTTAGAGACAGGGTCATACTGAATTGCTTAGGAAGGACCTCACTGAGTTGCTGAGGCTGGCTTTCAACTTGTGATCTTCCTGCCTCCCAAACCGCTGGGATTACAGGTGTGGCAAAAATTTTTGAACAGATATTTCTTCAAAGACAAATTAAGCACACAGAATGATGTTCAATATTATTACTCATAATAGGGAAATACCATCAAAATTATAAGAGATATCATTTTATATTCAATAGGATGGCTATTTTTTTTTTGAGAGAGAGAATTATTTTTTAAATATTTATTTTTTAGTTTTCAGTGGATACAACATCTTTGTTTGTATGTGGTGCTGAGGATCGAACCCAGGCTGTACACATGTCAGGCGAGCGCACTACCGCTTGAGCCACATCCCCAGCCCCAGGAGGGCTATAATTTTTAAAAAATATTTTTTAGTTGTCAATGGATCTTTACTTATTTTTATTTGTGGTACTTAGAATTGAACCCGTGCCTTACACATGCTAGGCAAGCGCTCTACCACTAGCCATAACCCCAGCCCCAATAATTTTTTTTTTTTTTAATTTTTTTTATTGGTTGTTCAAAACATTATAAAGCTCTTGACATATCATATTTCATACATTAGATTCAAGTTGGTTATGAACTCCCAATTTTACCCCAAATACAGATTGCAGAATCACATCGGTTACACATCCACATTTTTACATAATGCCCTATTAGTAACTGTTGTATTCTGCTACCTTTCCTATCCTCTACCATCCCCCCTCCCTCCCCTCCCATCTTCTCTCTCTACCCCATCCACTGTAATTCATATCTCTCCTTGTTTATTTTCCCATTCCCCTCACAACCTCTTATATGTAATTTTGTATAACAATGAGGGTCTCCCTCCATTACCATGCAATTTCCCTTTTCTCTCCCTTTCCATCCCACCTCATGTATCTGTTTAATGTTAATCTTTTCTTCCTGCTCTTCCTCCCTGCTCTGTTCTTAGTTGCTCTCATTATATCAAAGAAGACATTTGGTATTTGTTTTTTAGGGATTGGCTAGCTTCACTAAGCATAATCTGCTCTAGTGCCATCCATTTCCCTGCAAATTCTATGATTTCGTCATTTTTTAGTGCTGCGTAATACTCCATGGTGTATAAATGCCCAATAATTTTTTTAATAAAGAAAATAAGTAGGATGTCAAGAATGTGAAGAAATGGAACCTTTAAATTTGTAAGAAAGTGAAATGGTGCAGCCTCTATAAATAGTTAGGCAGCTTCTGAAAATGTTAAGTGCAGAATATATGACTCAGCAATTCCACTTACGTGTATCCACACTAGAGAAATAAAAACATATTTCCACACAAAAATTTGTACACAAAAATATTCATCATACTATTCACAGATGCCAAAAAGTGGAAACAATCTAAATATCTATCAAATAATATATGAAAAAACAAAATTTGTTATATTCACACTATGGAATACTATTTGGCAATAAAAGGGGATGAACATTGATACATGCTACAACATGGATGAATTTCAAAAATATGCTCAGTGAAGCTGGGTGCACACCTGTAATCCCAGCTACTTGGAAGATTGAAACAGGAGATTCACAAGTTCAAGGCCAGCCTGGGTAACTTAGACCCTGTCTCAAAATAAAAAATAAGTGCTGGGGATATAGCTCAGTGGTAGAGCACCCCTGGATTCAAACACCAGTACTGTAAAAATAAGAGCTAGGTGAAAAAACAAACTCTTGACACAAATTAATACAAATTGCAAAATTTCACATATATGAATTATCCAATATAGGCAAATCTTGAGATGGAAAGCAGATTAGTGGCTGCCAGGGACTAGGGCTGGGAATGGAGGATGATTAAAATTGGTCAAAGATTTCCTTCCTTTTTTTCTTTTTTTTTGTTCTGGGGACTGAAACCCAAGATTGCTTTACCACTGAGCTACATCACCAGTCCTTTTTATTTTTTATTTTGAGACAGGATCTTGCTAAGGTTGCTGAGGCTCTTGTTAAATAGCTGAGGCTGGCCTAGAACTTGCAACCTCCTTACAGCTAACCAAATTGCTCAGATTCTAGATGTGCACTACTTGTAACCAGCATGAGATTTCCTTTAGTGTTAGGGTCTGTAAACAAGTCAGGATTGCGCCTGGCATTTTGCCAGAGGGAGTGGTTTGTGAAGTAACGCCAGCGAGCCATTAAGTGTGGAGATTCCTTATTGGTTGACTGCTGTATCTAGTTTATGTTAATTAGGATAAGCTGTGTGGAATGTATATATACCCCTCCTGTCCTACAATAAACAGCTTCTACTCCTGCTGTATCAATCTACACAAGTTGTTCGTCACCCCCCGGTTATTTTGCTGCAGCCGGACTACGGCACTTTAGGTGATGAAAATGTTCTAAAATAATATTGTGGTGACAGTGGTATACTCTATATAAATACACCTAAAGTTGAACTGTACAGTTAAAATGGGTAAATATATGATATATAAATTGTTTAATAAAGCTGTTTTAAAAAAAAGAAACCCAGGCATGTTTTCTTATAATCCCAGTGTCTCAGAAGGCTGAGGCAAGAGGATCACAAATTTGAAGCCAGCCTTAGCAACTTGGTGAGATTCTGTCTCAAAATTTTAAAAAAACATAAGATAAAATTTTTAAAAAACATAAGATAAAACATAAGATAAGATTGGTGGGCTGGAGTTGTGGCTCAGTGGTAGAGTGCTTGTCTCACACATGTGAGGCACTGGGTTTGATCCTCAGTACCACTTAAAAACAAAACAAATAAAAAAAGGTATTGTGTCCATCTACAACTAAAAAATTAAAAAATAAAAAAAAAAATTGGGGGCTGGACATGTCTCAGGCCTGTAATCCCAGTGGCTCAGGAGGCTGAGGCAGGAGGATCATGAGTTCAAGGCCAGCCTCAGAAATTTAGCAAGACCCTGAGCAACTTGGCAAGATCCTGTCTCTAAATAAGATATTTTTAAAAAATGGGGAGAGATGGGGATATGGCTTAGTGGTTAAGTGCCCCGGAGTTCAATCCCTGGGGGGGAAAAAGGTTTGGGGTTATAGCTCAGTGGTAAACCACCTTATTTCAATTCCCAGTACCAAAGAAAGGGAAAAGAACAACCCTGAGATAAACATCAGAGGATTTCATTGCTATAGAAATTACGAATCTATAAAAGGGATCTTTTCCCCCAGTAAGTCCTAAGGCAGCTCAATTCCCAGAGAGAAAATGGAAGATGGACAAGATGGTGCCTCACCAGACACAGCCTCCAGCTGCTTAGTAAGAGCATGCATGATGACATCATTCTCCACTATATAGCCCATGTCATCTAAATTATCCTTATCGAACATTATCAAGGCCTCTGAGCACGCATCCCACACCTGGAAACACAAAAGGATAGTCTTCATTAAAACCAAGGTGAAGGAAACAGACTCCAAAGAGAAACTGAGAATTTCTTTCCCAAGTGGCAGAAGCAGAAATTAAAAATTGTCAGCCTCTCTGGCAGGAGATACAAGGTGAGAAGATTGTGAGCAATGCTTCTCCCACTTCCTTAGACTGAATGCGTTCTCAGAACACCTGGAGAGCGTGGACTCCAACATCCTAATATCCGAGAGACAAAGACATATTGCCAAAAGTGAAAAAGGAAAAGGAAGTACCTGCATTCGCCGAAAGGCTCTGTATCTCATGTTGCAGATATGATCCCAAGCACCAAAACCTACAAAAGAAAGGATCTACAGATCTACAAAAGAAAAGATCCAACAGGAACCTGGCTCCTGCACTCCCTTTTGTCCCTCTTGTCCTGTTAAGTAAGAGGTGGTTTTCAGTATTGTCCAATAACAGAAAAAACATCCTCTCTGCCCCTACCCTGTTTGTTTCTAGGAGCTAAGCTGTTCCCCAGTTCCAGATTGTACAGCGTGAAAAAAGGCCCAAAAGGTAAATCACATTAAAGTAGGGGAAATAAGGAAAACCAAATTCATATTGTTATTTTTTATAATCTAAGTAAAGTCATAAATATTTTAAAGGTCATTTTTTATTTTCTAACTATTTGTGGCAAAGAAATATTTACTGAACATCTACTATGTACCATTATAAATCTAGGTACTGAGCAGAAAGTAAAAAGCCAAAGTCCCTGCCTTCTGCAGCTGACATTCCAATTGGAGATGGACCACAAAAAACACAATATAATGTCAGGTAAGTGCTATGAAGAAAAACAAAGCAGTATAAGGGGCTCCCGCATGAGGGAAGAGTTTACTTTTAGGAAGGGTGGTTTTAGACAGGATGTCTGAGAAGTAACATCTGCAAGAGACCTAAAGAGAGATGCTAACTGGTTCTATATGCATACGTTCATCTATACCCCAAAACATTTAGCATACAGACTCCCTAGTCTACTTGAGGACTGACTCTGGGAATGCAGAGTGAATGATCAGATAGTTCACACAGATGCAGTCCTACTGTAACGACCTAACTTCACACACCAAGTCCACATAATGGAGCCGCATGTCTCAAGGATGGCTTCCTCAGACTGGGAGTTGTTACACTGACAACTTCATCTCTGATTATGCCCTAGACTGCCAAGCTCACCTCCCGCTCCCTACCCACAGTGAGATCCCTCTCCATAGATGCTTTGGTGACTGTCCTATGGGGTTACTGGAAGGCTGAAGGGGAAAGGAGGTTGGACCTGTGAGAGAAGTTCTACTCACTACTGAGAAGAGTTGCAGAGCCAGGGGATATGGAGCTGACTCTGTTGCTGTATGTTTCTGACAACTTCTCCAGAACTCTCTTTGGACCTGCTTCCAGCAACAGGATTTTTTTATCACGGAAGTGGATATCATGTCCTAAAACAAACAAAAACGTTTCATATGATTTTTAAAAAGTCAAAAATGTAATTGCACAGTAGTATGACTATAGATACAATGTACTTACTATACACTTTAAAAAGCTAGAAGAGTGCATTTTGAATGTTTTCACAATAAAGAAATGATAAATGTTTGGGTAGACAAATGTTTAACCTGATTTAAATAATCAAACAAGTATATATACATTAAAACATTACATGGAAAAAATATTACATGGTATACCATTAGTATATGCAACTTTTTTTTTTTTTTCCGGTGGACACAACATCTTTATTTTATTTGTATGTGGTGCTGAGGATGGAACTCAGCGCCCTGTGCATGCCAGGCGAATGCGTTACCGCCTGAGCCACATACCCAGCCCTCATTCCTTTTTTTTTTTTTTTTAAGAGAAAGAGAGAGAGAGAGAGACAGAGAGAGAATTTTAATATTTATTTTTTAGTTTTCGGCGGGCATAACATCTTTGTTTGTATGTGGTGCTGAGGATCGAACCCGGGCCACACGCATGCCAGGCGAGCGCACTACCGCTTGAGCCACATCCCCAGCCCAGTATATGCAACTTTTTAAAAACATTTTTTTGGTTGTAGATGGACACAATACCTTTATTTATTTTTACGTGGTGCTGAGGCTCGAACCCAGTGCCTCGGATGTGCAAGGCACTCGTGTGCAGAGCTCTACCACTGAGCCACAACCTCAGCCCCAATGTGTGCAATTTTAATGTTTTTGTTTCAGTTAAAAATAAATTTAAGCCAGGTGCAGTAGCACATGCCTATAATCCCAGTGACTTGATGAAGCAGAAGGATTCCAAGTTTGAAGCCAGCATTCACAATCTAGTGCAACCCTGTTTAAAAAAAAAAAAGGATGGGAATATTTCAGTGGTACAGAACCACTGGGTTCAATACCCATTACTGGGTAAAAATTAAACATAAAAGATAAATAAAAAATTTTAAAAAATATTTTTAAAAAAATATTGTTTTAGTTGTAGATGGACACTATACCTTTATTTTATTAATTTTTGTGGTGCTAAGGATCAAACCCAGTGCCTCACACATGCTAGGCTAGTACTTTACCACTGTGCACCAATCCCAGCCCAAAAGATTAATTCTTTAGGCCTTAGAATACAAAATTTCTCAAAGGACATTTCTCATGTAACATAAAACTCCTAAGTATAACATATTTCACCACTTTAGTCAGGAGAACCACCTCATCCAAACTGCCAGACTTCTCTAGATAAAGTTCACTACATGCCGTGTGCAAAGAAGCAAATTACAAAATATAAAACTAGCAATAGGATTTTCCAGAAAGGAAGAATGAAGTGAAAAATACAAAAGTGTTTAGATATCACATATTTCCAATCTTGAGACTATTATGTCACTAAAAATGACAACTCCTGGCTTGGAGGGTTAGCCTAGTGGGAGATAACAATATGGTACTGTACATTTCAAGCATATGTGAAGCCCTGAGTTCAATCCCCTGTACCACACACACACACACACAAAAAAAAAAAGAAAGAAAGAAAAATCCTGTTTAATAGAAAAAAAAGAGTAAACAAACAGAACTCACAAGATTAAATCAACAATAAAGAATCAGAGTTTATAAAAATGAAAAGGTAACCAGAGATCCATCAATTGTGCCTACAAATCTAATCCTAAAACATTGGCAGAAATAATAAAAAAGGGATTGGAGCCAGGGCTGGTGGCCCCAGTGGTTCAGGAGGCTGAGGCAGTAGGATCACAAGTTCAAAGCCAGCCTCAGCAACTCAGTGAGACCTTGTCTCAAAACATTAAAAAAGGGGGGGGGGGGCTGGGAATATGACTCAGTGGTTAAGTGCCCATGTGTTCAATCTCCAGTACCAAACGCCACCCCCCCAAAACAAAACAAAACAAAAAAAAACCCTAACAAACTATACAGGACTATTCCTGAACTCAATTAATATAAGAGGGAAATAAAGTTGCTTCAAGCCTTTAAGAAACTGTTTAATTCTGAGGTGTCCCCCCAAACTCATGATCATGTGTGTGAGACCATGCAAAAAAGTTTAGAGGAAAATGAATCGTGTCAAATTTTAACGTAATCAGTACCTTAGTCTCCCGATAAGGATTAACTGGGTGGTAATTGTAGGCAGATAAGATGTGGATGTAGGAGCTGGGTCATTGGGGGTGTGCCTTCAGTGTACACCTCTGTCCCTGGTGTGAGGGAACTCTCTCTGCTGACTGATTGTCATGTCCTGAGTTGCCTTCCTCATCATATCCTTCTACCTTGATGTTCTGCCTCACCTCTTGGACCCAGAGCAATGGAGTTGGCCATCTATGAACTGAGACCTCTGAAACTGTGAGCCCCAAATAAATTGCTTAAAGTTGGCAGGTCTTTTGGTCACAACAATAAAACAGCTGATTAAAACAGAAAACATCATAAACTTATGGGGAAATATTAAAAGCTAACTAGACAATTTTTATTTTTTTAAAAAATGTTTTTTTAGTTGTCAATGGACCTTTATTTATTTATATGAGATGCTGAGAATCGAACCCAGTGCCTCACACATCCTAGGCAAGTGCTCTACCACTGAGCCACAAGCCCAACCCCATTTTCTACTTTTGTGTGTGTGTGTGGGGGGGGGGGGCGGGGTAGATGAACTCAGAGGCACTTTACCAGTTAGCTATATCCCCAACCCTTTTTAATTTTGAGACAAAGTCTCACTAAATTGTGTAGGGCCTTGCTCAAATTGATTGGCCTCAAATCTGCAATCCTCCTGCCTGAGCATCCTGCCTCAGCCTCCAAAATTGCTAAGCTACCACACCCAGCTTCTGGGGTATTTGTTTAAAATATAGGCTTGCTGGCCCAGCATGACAAACTGAGTCAGAGTCATTGGAAGCAGAATCTGGTATCTTCATTTAAAAAATATAATTCTGTACACTGCTAACAATGATAACCTTTGAGGAGATCTGGATGGCTAACAATAAGAAAATACAAGTCTTGATTTATACATTTCATACCAATAGCCCATATTTGTACCTTCTGAATTTTGTATCTTTGCCCGAGTTATTCAAAATCTAAGAAACAATAATAAAAACCTAGGTGCTTCTTATATGCACTGAAGCCTGAGACCCAGGATTTTATATTTTAACTCATTTACCAATAGGCACAACCAAAATGACTGTCTGAGAGGAAGGATACATACTTAAACCTGCCAGAAAGTTTTTTCTGTTCCTAAAGTGCTGTATATCTAATTATCCACCCTTGGGTGCAAGTTACTTAATCTTTCTGAACTTCTCTGCACAATCTACAATTGGTATTATTATAAGGATTAAGTTAAAATATATACAAAATATTCAAAAAGATGCCTGTCCCAAGCAAGTGCTCAATAATTGATACTATGTTTTGTTTGTTTGTTGTACTGGGGATTGAACCCAGGGACACTTTGCCGCTGAGCTACATCCTAGCCCTTTTTATTTTTTATTTTGAGACAGGGTCTTGCTAAATTGCTGAGGCTGGCTTTAAACTTGCAGACCTCTTGCCTCAAACTCCTGAGCCACTGAGATTACAGGTGTGCACCATCACACCCAGTGACACAATGTTTTAAAAATTACTTTGGGGTTCCAGCCCATTAGCTCATATACAAAGAAAGCACTAGTTCTCATCGATTCTCTATAGGAGGAACCCTATCAGGGAAGATGTGGCTGTCATCCATGATGCTGAAGTCAAAAAAGGCTTTCACACTATTGGTAACCTCTCATTTCTGAGGCTAGAAGACTCAAATCCAATTTCTGAAAGCCACCATAAGTTGTTAAAAGCAATACATTTGGAATTTGGTGGCCTGGGTTGAATTCTAACTCTGGTACTGCCTGGCTAAGAGACTCTGATCTTTATTTGATCTTACTAAGCATATTTTTCACATAAATATGCAAATAATATCTGTTTCACAATGTAATGGAGCACCTTAAATTACACATGTAAATGCATAGTCCTAACCTCACAGGATACACAAAATTCAACTCAAAAATAGATCATAGACTGCTGTAAGCCCTAAAACTTCTAGGAAAAAAAAAATGGGAGTAAATCTTGGGGCTATGCAATAATTTCTTAGTTATAACACCAAAAGCACAACTGATGAACGACTGATAAACTGGACTTCATCAACACTGAAAATGGGGCTGAGGATGTAGTTCAGTGGTGCAGCATTTGCTCAGCATGCTCAAGGTCCTGGGTTTAACCCCAAGTACCATAACAAATAAATAAACAGATAAAAAAAACAAATCAAAATGCTTGTGCTTCAAAGAATATTATCAAGCAAGTTTTTAAAAAAGACAACAAACCAGAACAAAATATTTGCAAATCATATATCTGATGAAGGATTTGTGCCCAGAATATACAAAAGAACTCTTACAATTCAATTTAAAAAATGGCCCAATTATAAACAAAAGGTAAGGCTGGGGTCTGCAGCTCAGTGGTAGAATGCTTGCCTAGCATGCACTGAGATCTTGGGTTCAAAACCAAGAACCACAAATAAACAAACAAAAACCAAAGGATCTGAATAATCATTTCTCCAAAGAAGATAACACATGGCCAGTAAGCATATGAAAATACTCAATATTATTAGTCATTAGATAAATATAAACTAAAACCTCTTTGCATCCACTAAGATAGCTGATAAATAAAAAGACAATAACAAGTGCTACCTAGGACCTGGAGAAACTGGAACCCTAGTGTAGTGTTTCCAGTGGAAAAGTCTGGCAATTCTTCAAAACATTAAACAAAGTTATCATTATTCAGCAATTCCACTAGTAGGAATATGCCGCAGTCTGGCTGGGCACACAATCACGAGCCACCACACAGCTTGTAGATTCAAACAGCAACTCTTTATTCCCGAACTCACACCAGCCGTCTACAATCACGTTCTGGGGAAATCCACGTTCTCTGCCCAAATCCACGTTCTCTGCCCAAATTCACCTCCACTGGGCTTCTATCTCCAAAATATATTGTCTGAATCCCGTGAGAACTCAAGGGGAACTCAGGCAGCAGGATACGCCCTATTCCCAGCAGGAATAATCTTAAACCTTAAACCTGGAACCTAAACTGGGAACGCCTTAAACACGATTATCTTAAAACCGGGAACACCCTAATCTGCCTAGGTCCTTGAGCAAGGTCACGTACATTCAATGTCACTGCAACATGGGGTACGCTGGCAAGGAAATTGTCATACTTACTTGGCTAATGGCTCCCAGCAGGAATAGACTCAAGATAACCAAAAATACATGCACACAAAAGCTTTTACACAAAATATTCATAATAGCATTATCTGTAATGTGACAGCAGTGAGAATGTCCATCGATTGATAAATGAAAATAAACAAAATGTGGCATAAACAAACAATACTATTACTCAGCCTCAAAAGGAATGGGATACTGATACAAGCCACAACAGATTAACCTTGAAAACATTAAGTAAATTCCATCTACATATAACTGTCTACATATAATTTAATTTAATCTACATATAATTTCCCTACATATAAGAAAAATATATAGAGAGACAAAATAGGCGAGTGGTTGCTTAGGGCTGAGGGATGGGGGGAAACGCGGAGTGACTGCTAAGAGTTCCAGGTATCTTTTTCTTTTCTTTCTTTCTTTTTTTTTCTTAGGATAATGAAAATGTTATAAAACTTAACTATAGTGATGGATACAGAACTCTGCGAATACAATAAAAACTATTAAGCTGGTGGCTGCGGTGTGGATCACCCGTAAAGCGCTTGCCTCTCACGTGTGAAGCACTGGGTTCGATCCACAGCACCACATAAAAGTAAGTGAACAAAATAAAGATAAATTAAAAAAAAAAAAAAAAAAAAAAACAGGGGCTGAGGCTGTGGCTTAGTGGTAGAGCTCGCCTAGCATGTGTTAGGTACTGGCTTCAATTCTCAAAATGAATAAAATAAAGGTCCATACATCTAAAAAAATTTTTTAAAATAACAACACCAAAACCAAAACCAAAACCAAACAAACAAACCATTAAGCTAAGTGAGTGGGCATTATGGCATTTGAATTACATCATAATAAAGTTCTTTGTCTTAAAAACAAAGAAACAAAAACACCTGCCAAAGTTAGTACACGAGATGACCTCCCACTATGTCCATACCTAAATAACACTCGGCAGTTGTTCCCCACTAGTCGGAGTGACTCTTAAGGCCCCTCTCACTTTCGACCCTACCATCTCTGATACACGAAGCGCATTCCTGGGGGCGTGGGGCTCTTCTAGGAGAGGAAGGAATGGACCACAATGTCCGAGACACTCAGCCTTTGGGCACAGTGCGGTGGTTCACACTGTCCGCAGCTCTTACCCAAGGCACAGGCCATGGCAGCACCCACGAGGCCTCCGCCCGACACCACTACATCGTACACTGTGTCTGCCGAGACACCGGAACACCTCCGGCAGGAAATCAGCGGGCTTCTGCGTGTAGCTGCAAATGCAATAGCCCACCGGGTCCTTGATAGCCGGGCAGCCATGACGCTGACCCGGGCAACCATATCTAGTGCCCGGTAAGCCCCGCTTTAGGTAGTGCTTCCGGAGCAGAGTCCTCCAATCCCGTAGGGCTTCAATCGTGCCCTCTGAACCGGAAATAAGACGCATGAAGGAACCAGGCCAATCAGAAAACGATTTTTACTTCCTTGGGCGGGACTAAGTATAAGGACGCCCTAGAAGCCAATAAGAGGCTTATGAAGGGGCGTAGAGCCCAGAAGGGGTGTAGTAGCACTGCCACCGCCGCCTTTGTCTCCGCTTCTGTTTCCTTCTGCCTAGCTAAGAAGATGACTGTAGGAAGGTCTGCAGGATCCCCTGATGGGGCAGAGTGGACAAGTCAGGTGAGGTGAGAAAGAAGAGAGGTAGCAGGGCTGCGCTTAGGAAACGAATCCCTAAGTGAGGAAACTGTTTGGCGTTGCCTTGGAGACAGAAGGCAGGGGCGTGTCACCGAGGGGTTGGGGGTTAAAATTGGCAGCATTTAGGCCTTGGGAGGCGGATTCTTGTCTTTGGGATTCGAACTACTTGTGCCATGCTCTTGGACAACAACAGTGGAATTCAGTTTTTGCTTGTCCTCTCATCTATATTATGACAGTTGTTGTCCCTATGTTGTAAAAGAGAATACAGAGGCATAGGAAGATTAAGAAATTTGCCCTCAAATCCACATAGAGACAAAAAGTAGGTTAGTAGTTAGGGGAATTAGGGAATGTCTACTAAAGGGTATGGAGTTTTTTTTTTGGGGGGGGGGCAGGGCGATGAAGATGTTCTAAAATTTGTTGTGATAGTTGCATAACTCTGAACTAAAACCCATCAGATTATGCTCTTTGAATGAATTGTATGCTATGGAAATTAAATATCAACAACGATGTGTTTTTTTTAAAGAAATTTGCCCGAGACAACTGCTCTTCAGTAACATAGCCAGGACTACAGCATATACACAGCTTTGCCTCAGAATCTAGCATTCTATCACAGTTGGACCTTACAGAACCCAGTGAAACCAAATATATCCCCTGGAGGAATGCAGTGTCCTGCCTTCAGTTGATTTGCCTTTTGCAATCATTCATCTTCTACATCCTGGCTCCATGCCAACCTCTCAAAGGACATCTAATGCCACCATGCTCCAGTCACAGTGGCTCTCTTTCTTATATAAGATTCAAGTCTTTTCCTTTCCAGGATCCTGCATCAAGGCCTTTACCTTTGCTGTTCCTTGACTCCAGAATATTCTTACCTCAAATCTTAGCAAAACTGGTTCCTTCTCATTAATTGGGTGTCAATCCAAAACTCCTCTATAATGAGAAAATAAAAATCAGCTCAGGACTGAGAAAGCACAGATATCCCCAGCTTATGACGGTTCATCTAATGATTTTACAACTTTACAATGGTAGGAAAGCACTAAGTATTCAGTAGAAACCACATTTCACATTTTGAATTTTGATCTTTACCCTAACTAGCAATATCATACTCTCTCCATACTGGTAGAGAGACAGAGAGCTATAGCTCCCAGTTAGTGACACAGTTGTAAGGATGAATAACATAATCTATAGTATGCTGTGTTGCTAAGCTAGGACATTCATTAAATTGGTGTATTAGATGCATTTGTTTTTTTACTTATTAACAGTTTACAATGGGATTATCTGGACATAACCCCATCATACGTCAAGGAACATTTGTATCCCCCAGACCATAACAGACACAGATAAAGCCAGCTGCAAAATCAGCAGGAAATAGTGTTTCTCTTGGGGCCATAATATAGCTACAAAATTACTAACACCCCTTCTTCTAAATGATAATGCTTACTTAACAGTTACTTACCTATCCCTGCAGGGAAAAAAAATGCTCAATTACCCACTCACTAAACCATTCCCATGTTGGGTGTGGTGACACACACCTGTAATCCCAGCCACTCTGGAGGCTGAGGCAGGAGAATCACAAATTCCAACCCAACCTGGGCAATTTATCAAGACTTTCTCAAAATAAAAAGTTTAAAAAAGGGGCTGGATATAGCTCAGTGAAAGAGTTCTTCTGGGTTCAATCCCCAGTACTACAAAACAACAACAAAAACCCAATACCAAAAGAAAAGGTTAAATTGTTCCTACTTCATGACTGCACCCATCCTCTTATGACCTTCCTAAGACAAGCCAACACTAAAACCCTGCCACTAATACGCACACACCAGGTTCCTTATTGTTTCCCATGATGTACTATAATTAATAAACATCACTCTGATTATTGATATATTCCTAGTGACTCTAATAGATTTTATCAACATAAAAGTTTTCCATAAGTAACCCATCACTCTATAACCTCAGTGTTTATGGTTTTATTTGAATATGTGATCTTATTAAATTTTCTGTCTCCTCTCACTAGAATGTAAGCTTCTTGAGAATAGAGACTTCGTTTGTCTTGTTTTCAGTCCAGTGTGTTAGATATCCAACAGATATTTTCTATATGAATGAATGAATGAAGTTTTGTTGTTGTCATTTTCCAGTGCTGGGGACAAATCCAATCCTTGAGCATGCTAGGCAAGCTTTCTACCACTGAGCTACATCCCTAGCCCCTGAATAAATTATTTAAAAGTTGGTTGGGTGTCTCATTTTCTAGGATGTAACTCTTTCCATTAGACTACATTGTCCTATTAATCATCCATTTCTAGTGATAGAATAGAAATTAGTTAGAACATGAGAAAAGCAGGGGCCTAAACAGGGCAACAAGAGAAGAACAATGGGTAAATCTCAAGGAAAGTGGGTACAGAGTGTGCCCAGGGTCCTGGGTAGGATTCCTAGAATGCATGGGTCAGAATGCATGGTGCAGATTAGGGGGTCTGCTTACTGTACTGCAGGGATAGGGAACATGCTTTAGCTCTTTGCTTCCCTTTCCTGCCCTACAACCAAGCACATCTGTATACCAGGATGTGAAATTTCTTTAGAGCAAGGAACACATTTGTTCCTCTTATCCCTAATATACTAAGACTTATTCAAAGTGAAATTAATCATTATGTTTTGAAGATTGTAGAAATTATAGTTTAACTCACAGTTTATTTCTGTTCCATTTTAGATACTTTCCCCCCAATCCTCCTCTGACACGGAGGCAGAAGACAAACTGTCTGGGGATGGTATGGTTTTACCCAGGGCTGGAAAACTCCATGAGCTCTTCAGCCTAGAGGATGAGACAGAGTCCACCTCTGTCTCAACTGGAAGCTTTTATGACTCCCTACAGGTTCTAAAGCAAAGGGACAAACAGGGTCTGTTGGAGTCCCTTTTTCAGGCTGACTCAGACAGTGATAAGAACATCTCTGAAGATGATGAGGTCCTAGAGAATTTCTTCCAGGACAAGGGCAGGGGGAAGCCACAGATCCAGTACCCTGGATCTCAGAGGTAAGGCTCTACAGTCAACAGCTACCCCACTCCACCACTCTGGGGCAGTCATGCCATGTCTCTGGGCTATATCTTCCTTTGTCAGGTAGAGACCATGTCTGCAAATTTCTACTTAGGCAGGGTCTGGCTCATAATCAGGTTTTGAGTCCATCCAACTGTTTTGATTCCTACCAGCAATCCTAAATCATTGTGGGCAACTCTTAGTTCAATGAAACATTAGAATTGATTAAAGGAATGTCTTTCCTAAACAACCCTTTCCCCAAGAATGACAAGGTATATTGACCTTGGCCAACTCGGCTATGTGATGCATACTTTAGCTCATTTAGTATTTGCTTTCTCCTCCCAGTAACCTTATAAGTGGATATTATATTTGTCACTCTACATATGAGGAAATTCATAATAAGGTTTGAAGCAGATCTTTAACTTAGATCTAATTCTAAATTCCTGCTTTGACCCATTGCACTGTTTTCTCTGTCATATGCAAATAAGAGTGCAAACATGGCAGTTTGTGGATCAATTCTGAGAACGTTTCTACTAGGCTGCTAGGATTGCCTGTGGGAAGAGTGGGGAGGCCTCATGGAAGAGTTATGGGTATAGAGGCTTATGGGGCTGTGAGATCAGGCTGAGAAGCTAGCTGTGGCTTGCCTGGCAAAGAGGCCTGGGGAAGAGGATCAGGAAACAGCAGGGCCTCCTGACTGCCCAGTCCTCCACACACAGACCTGCTCTCTCCCACAGGTGTGACTCCACAAGGCGCTGCAGCTCCCTAAACAGCCTTTCTTCAGGTCTTCCAAAGGCTCAGGCCCAGCCACCCTCAGGCTCCAAGCCTGACTCCCAGCACAGAAGTGTCAGCTCCTGGACATCGTCCATCACCGTCCCTCAACCATTCTGCATGACACTGCGGGAGGCCCAAAAGAAAGCTCAGTGGCTGGCCTCACCTGCCTCCTTTGAGCAGAAGAGGCAGCAGGCCCAGAGGCAGGGCCAAGAGGAGGCTGAGTGCCACAGACAGTTCCGGGCACAGCCTGTACCTGCACATGTCTACCTACCCCTCTACCAGGACATCATGGAGCGCAGGGAGGCCCAGAGACAGGCAGGGATCCAGAAGAGGAAGGAACTGCTTCTCTCATCCTTAAGGCCCTTCAGCTTCCTGGAGAAGGAGGAGCAGCGAAAGGAAGCTGCACGACAGAGAGACCTGGCTGCCACAGTGAAGGCTACGGTCCCCCCAAAGAAGGCCATAAGAAGGATCCCCAAGTCCATTCTGGAACCAGCCCTTGGAGACAAACTCGAGGGTAAAGATATCCTTGCCACCTGCTGCCTCCTGCTTGTGGGTACCAAAAGACCCAGTTGGTTAGTCGGCTTGGCTTAGAGATGAGCTCTCTGGGTGGACCCATTAGAGGCTGCAGGCTCAGTGTAGGCCATGAGGGAGGGTTAAAAAATACATGTGAATAAGGGCCTCAGGCTTTATTCATTCCACAGCCACATATGGTACTTACCAGGCACTGTTCTCAGATGAATAAGCAAACATGGAGTTTGTAGACATGTGAAGAGGTAGATAATAGAAAAATAATTATAAATGGGATAAATCATTTGTGATCTCAGCTATTTGGGAAGCTGAGGTGGGAGGATTCAAGTTCCAGGCCAGTGTAGACAATTTAGCAAGACTCTATCTTAAAATAAAAAATAAAAGGGCTGGGGGATATAGCTCAGTGGCAAAGCACCCCTGAATTTAATCCCCAGTACCCTTCCCCCATTTTTTTTTTCTCTTTAAGGAGATGAGAGCTCTTTCCCTCTCCCTGCTGCATGTGCCCACAAGCCCTGGTGGAGGTCACCTCCAGTCTAAGACAACATGTGGCTGGGCCTTCACTGGGCTTTCAACAGGCAGAGAAATAAATGGCTATCATGTTACACTGAGATTTTGCCTTCCCCAAATTTTTAAAATAAAATTTTAATTAAAATGACTAGGAATATAGCTGAGTGGTAGAACACCCTGGGTTCAATCCCCAGTACCACAGAAAAGCCGCAAAAACAAATGGGATGAGTCATTTGTAAGAATTAAAGGGAGGAAGCATTGAGCATACAATAAAAGTACCTAATTCAGTGTGTGGTGAGGAGAGAGAGAAGTTCAGGAGGGATCCAGAGAAAGTGAGCTCTGGGGTGATCCTGACAGAGGAACCATAGTTAATTTGGTGAAGAGGGAGGAGGAAGAGCCAAGTAGAGATGTGGCCTGGAGGTAGATGGAAGCTGAGAGGATCAGAGAAGGGTGACAAGGGAGGAAGGATAGGTATAAGAAAGCTCTGAGGGGACTTGCTGGCCACATGGATGAGTTTGGATTCCATCCCAAGGGCACTGGCAGGTTTTAAGTAGGGTGGCTCATGATCAGATACACAGTTCAGAAAGATCACTTGCTATTGTAGATAATTAAAGGTGGCAGCAAAACTGGAGAGATGTTGATCTTATAGGCCACTTCAACAATTCAGTTTAGACAGCATGAAACTAACAGTGGGGATGAAGGAAAGAGAGAGGCTAGAGAAAGGCTAAAGAGGAAGATACAGAAAGTTTGATAGGAGAGAGGGAAGACTCAACAATTGTTTGGGCAAAGGGTGTGGGCATTTGAGTGGCTAGAGAGAAGCAGGGGGATGGCCTGATTTCCCCTGCTTTGTCTCTAAAGAGGAAGTTGTAGAAAGTGCCCAACAAGCATAAATGGTAGCTGTTTCTGCAGTATGACTAGCATGGGCAGTGGTGGCCTGGTCACTGTATACTAATGACATTCCAGAAAAGAGAAAAAAAAGCAAACTCATTTTTGAAAAATTTTTAAGTTTGTAAAATTTTGCCATTTCTTTATATTGTGGCCAAATGCAGGTTTCCCACAGGATGTCAGTGGGTTTACAGTGTTCCTGAAAAGTTAACAGTTGACTTCACACTACTGCTGGTGCTTTGGTGTGAAGCTTGGTCTGTATGTACTCATCACTGCCCTGATTCTTTCTCCACAGAAGCCGAGCTCCTCAGAAAAATTCGCATCCAGATGAGGGCCCTGGACATGCTCCGGAAGGCCTCCTCCCCTGTTGCCTCCTCTAGTAGCCGGGCTGATTCACAGCCCCGCACAGCTGCCCGAACCCAGGAGAAAAAGCTTGGCTTTCTGCAGCCTGACTTTGGATTCCAGCCTCAGGTGAATCCTGTTGTTCCTGACCATGAGGGTCTATATCAAGCCTTCCAGAGAAGAGCTGCCAAGAGAAAGGAAACCCGGGAGGCAACTCGCAACAAGCCCTTCTTGCTGAGGACCGCCAACCTGCATCATTCTCCAAGATCCTGTGATGCTTCCACCACTGAAGGAAGGAGGGTGAGGGCCCAGGGAACTGTGGGAGGGCCAGGACCTCCTGGGGCATGAAATGCATGATGGGCCTGGGGCTTGAAGGAAAGCACTTCTCATGACATTTTTCTACCTTAACTCTCTCTTTTTTTTTTTTTTAGAGAATTTTAATATTTATTTTTTAGTTTTTCGGCGGACACAACATCTTTGTTTTGTATGTGGTGCTGAGGATCGAACCTGGGCCACACGCATGCCAGGCAAGCACGCTACTGCTTGAGCCACATCCCCAGCCCAACCTTAACTCTTTTTTCCCCCAGCCTTTTTAAAATTTTGAGACAGGGTCTTACTAAGCTGCTAAGACTGACCTTCAACTTGGGATCCTTCTGTCTTAGCCTCCTGTGTCTAGGCATATCAGTTGTAAGCAGATCCACATTCCTGCAAATTTAAGACCTCAGGAGCACTCCTTTTCATTCCCTCTATCTAGAAGGATTTTGCAGATATATGCACAAGCAGGTCTGGAAGGCAGGGAATTGGGATCAATTGCTTGTGTCCCTATACAATTTCCAAGGAAATATCATTTGATAAAAAAACTTTACGGTTATTATCCTAGTCTTGTCCTGGTTACTAACCTTGAGATCTCATTATCTTTGTCTTATTCCTAGGAATAAAATGAAAGATTCTCATTTTCAGTCTTTCACTGAAATTGAATCTCAACTAAGACAGAAACTAGTCATACATGCTATTCCACCAATACCAGCTTTCCTTTCTTCTAGGGTTCCCCAGAGCCACCAGCTACACTCCTAACAAGGAGTCATTCTCTGAGTGGCCTTGCTTCCCTCTCCACCAACACCCTCCCTGTGCATATCACAGATGCCACCAGGAAGAGGGAATCTGCAGTCAGGTGAGTGGTCAGGCTGCATAAGACTCAATGCTCTGATCTGGGTAAAATTCTGGAATCCACCTTCCTGTGAGGCCTTCTCACCTGTCCTCAGAGACACCACAAAGGGGTTGAAAGATTCCTTGATCAGGGCAGGAATACATGTGGTCTCCATGCCTGGGGCTAGCCACCACTCAGTTCTCTAGGGGACTTATTTGGTGCAAGGCATAATGTTAAGGCTGAAGATCCTTTAGAAACCTAAAGTGTAAAATCTAGTCTGAAATACAGAAAAGCTCAGATGCTATTACTGTATTTTGTAAAGAGTACTGTGAGGGCACCAGGCAGCCTGGGGCAGGGGTCTCTTGCCTTTTGGAAAAATGTCTGAGATGAAATCTAAAGAATGACAGGGAGTTAGACATATGAAGGCTTGAGAGAAAGAGAGTTCCAGACAGAATAACATGCATAAAAGCCTATACATAAAAAGAGGGTGGTAGCCACAAAGAACAAGAATTCAGAAAAGTGTGATAGCAGGTGGCTGAACCTGTCACAAAGATAATGAAACACTGATTACCTAGAAATGCTCTGAGAGTCATCTTAGGGAGATGTCAGAGTCTGGAAGTAGGAGTTTTTTGTTTGTTTGGTTTTTGCAGTGTTGGGGGCGGGGGATAGAACCAGAGTCTTGAGCATCTGAGCCAAGAACTCTACCACTGAGCTGTACACTCTCCATCCCAGCCTGTTTATTTTTAACTCTTTAGCTGACCTCATTCTGGTATTGTTCTCTTTGAGCCAGTCCCCCAGGAGAGTTCCTTCTCCTTCAGGCCTCTGAGGTAAAGCAAAGCAGGATAGTCCTGGGAAAGGACTAACATCTAGTACCTCTAAATACCTTCCCATGGGGCTTCCATGGAAGTAGACAGATTTTACTTGGCTCCTGCAGGCAAGAGGGATTGTAGAAATGTACTTAAGATCCACAAGACATAAATGCATCCCTTAAATGCATCAGTTCCTAAAGCCCAATAAGAGTGGCTCATGAACAAGAAGCCAGCCAGCTACGGAGAATACCCACATCTCTGTTCCCACAGTAAGGAATTGGACATTTTCTTTCTTCCCTCCCTTTTTTTGGTACCAGAGATTGAACTCAGGGCACTCAACCACTAAGCCACATCCACAGCCCTATTTTGTATTTTTTTAGAGACAGGGTCTCACTGAATTGTTTAGCATCTTGCCATTGCTGAGACTGTATTTGAACTCAACGATCCTCCTGTCTCAGCCTCTGGTGTGCTACCATGCCCAGCTTTCTTCTTCTTTTAAAAACAGTGCTGAGGGTTGGGAAGATGGCGGCGAGGGGAGTGCATTACCCCCGTGTGCTGCTTCACTGTGTGGGAGTATGACAAGTCAGGACGGCTAAAGGATATCTTGTTAGGAATTTCCAGCAATAGTGGGGTGCGCCGGAACCTGGAGGAAGGATTTCCATCGCACGAGGATCGGCTACGGGGACTCAAACGCGAGAGGTTTGTCGCACGGAGGGTAAAACTGCTTATTCAGCAAATCGCCCCGCGGCTAGAGTCTGCAACGCGCGCTGGGATAGAGACGCAGGGTTACAGTGCTGCAGTTTCTGCCAGCCGCGCAAGCACCGCACTCAGGGCTGAATTCTGGGTTCGAGACGGGGAAGGAAGCGGTCCATCTCGGTTCTCCACACCGGTCAGACCACAGAGGAGGCCAGCAGCCACCATGTTGGTAAACTGACGTCACCATACCTGTTTTTGACTGACCGCAGCTCATTCAGCCATAGAACAGGTAATTTCAGGCTGCAATTCGCCTGTGGCTCGCAGACAGATTGCTAGGGTTCAGCGCCTGGGTGCTTCTTAAAATCTGATCTTATCGGAGTGAACACCGAGCGCGGGGCGGCCGAGTTCCGGCTCCCGGAACCGTCCCGGAACCGCCCTGGCTCAGGGCTGCGGAGCCTGCGGAGGCTGCTTCTTGGACCCTGCTACTATCAGAGCAAACACCAAGCACCAAGAAGCCGAATTCCGGCTCCCGGAACTGAGCCCGCGGGGACTGCTTCTTGGAGCTTACACTTATAGGAGCTTACACCGAGCACGGAGCGGCTGAGTTCCGGCTCCCAGAACCGTCCCGGAACCGCCCTGGCTCAGGGCTGTGGAGCCCACGGAGGCTGCTTCTTGGACCCTGCTACTATCAGAGCAAACACCAAGCACCAAGAAGCCGAATTCCGGCTCCCGGAACTGAGCCCGCGGGGACTGCTTCTTGGAGCTTACACTTATAGGAGCTTACACCGAGCACGGAGCGGCCGAGTTCCGGCTCCCGGAACTTCCCTGGACCGGGGCTAGGAGCCCGCGGAAACTGCGTCTCGGTCCGGGTCCTGCTGAGGGCCGGTCAGGACTCACCCGTTGCTTGGGTTGCCCGGCAAGGGGAACGAAATGCTGCCATTCGCATAGGATACCAACATGGCAGAGATCTGATGTCAGCAGAAAGCGGTGGAGGAGAGATCTTCATCAATACCAGCGGTGACATAAGCAGTTGGTCTCCTGGTAAGGGGGGTGAGGCTCAGTCACCCGAGTCTCCTCAATTTGTCCTCGAGCCAGAGGGAAGGAGCCGGGCCGCCGCCAGCCCCCGGAGCAGGCCCAGCTGCTCGCCAGCGTGGTGACCGCGTGACCCCAATTGGAGAGGGGGCGGAGCGGAGCCGCCACCCACACCCGCCAGGTGGGCAGACCCACGACCCAGTAGTACATGGGCGTGGTAGGAGGGGCAGGGCAGAGCCGCCCTTCGCGCTTACAAGGTAAACAGACCTGTGACAGCCTGGCGGGTCAGGCCCAGTGGCCTGCCAGTGTGGTACACACGTCACCCCAACTCGAGTAGGGGCAGAGCAGATCCTTCTCCCACGCCCGGATCAGGCCCTGCCGGTGTGGTGGTCACGTGACCCCAATTGGAGTGGGGGCGGAGCGGAACCGCCACCCGTGCCCGCAGGGTGAGCAGACCAGTGATCAACCTGCAGATCAGGCCCAGGGGTCCGCAGGCGTGGTAGGAGGGGCAGGGCAGATCCGCCGCCCGCGCCTTCAAGGTAGGCAGACCTACAACAGACCCGCGGATCAGGCCCAGGAGCCTGCCGGCGTGGTACAAACACCACCCTAATTGGAGTAGTGACAGAGCAGAGTCGCCTCCCTTGCCAGGAACAGACCCAGCGTCCTGCAGGCGGGGTAGTCACGACACCCCAATTGGAGTAGGGGCAGAGCAGAGCCTCCACCCGTGCCCGAAAGGTGGGCAGATCTGCGACCGACCAGCGGGACAGGCCCAGTGGCCTGCTGGTACGACAGACACGTCACCCCATTTGGAGTAGGGGCAGAGTAGAGCTGCCGCCCGAGCCTGCAGGGTAGGCAATCCTGCAACCGACCGGCGGATCAGGCCCGGTGGCCTGCCGGCGTGGTACACTCGTCACCCCAATTGGAGTAGGGGCAGAACAGAGCTGCCACCAGCTCCCAGAACAGGCCCAGTGACCTGCTGGCGTGGTAGCCACGACACCCCAATTGGAATAAGGAGAGAGCAGAGCCGCCGCCCGCACCTGCAGGAAAGATACGCAAGCAGTATGAAAAGACAAGGAAAGAAAGGACCACAAGCAATGCAGGTCAACGCAACTTTAGAAGAGGTAACAGCTGCAGCAGATGGAATGTCAGATAAAGAATTCAGGATATACATGCTTCAGATGATCTGGAGTATCAAGGAAGACATTAAACAGCAAAATCAGACAATGAAAGATCACTTCGACAACGAATTACGCAAACAAATCCAGGAAGCAAAGGATCAACTATACAGGGAGATAGAGGTTATAAAAAACAAGCAATCAGAAATCCTAGAAATGCAGGAAGCAATAAACCAACTTAAAAACTCAATGGAGAATACTACCAACAGAGTAGAACACTTAGAAGATAGAACATCAGACAATGAAGACAAAGTATTTCAACTGGAAAAGAACATAGACAGCTCAGCAAGACTGTTAAGAAACCATGAGCAGAACATCCAAGAAATATGGGATAACATTAAGAGACCAAACTTAAGAGTCATTGGGATACAGGAAGGTACAGAGCTCCAAACCAAAGGAATGAGCAGTCTATTCAATGAAATAATACAAGAAAACTTCCCAGACTTGAAGAATGAGACAGAATCCCAAATCCTAGAAGCCTACAGGACGCCGAATGTGCAAAATCATAAGAGATCCACACCTAGACACATTATAATGAAGATGCCCAACATACAGAATAAGGAGAGAATTTTAAAAGCTACAAGAGAAAGGAAGCAGATTACATTTAGGGGCAAGCCAATCAGGATAACAGCTGATCTTTCAACACAGACTCTGAAAGCTAGAAGATCCTGGAATAACATATTTCAAACACTGAAAGAAAATGGGTTCCAACCAAGAATTGTGTATCCAGCGAAATTAAGCTTCAGGATGGAGAATGAAATTAAAACCTTCCACGATAAACAAAAGTTAAAAGAATTTGCAGCTAGAAAACCATCTCTTCAAAACATCCTCGCCAAAGTATTACAGGAAGAGGAAATGGAAAATAACAATGAAAACCAACCGTGGGAGGTAGGACAGTAAAGGGGGGAAAATAATCAAAGAGGAAAACAAACCATGTTTAGTAACAGAAATAAACAAATATGGCTGGAAGAACAACCCATATCTCAATAATAACCCTAAATGTTAATGGCTTAAACTCACCAATTAAGAGACACAGGCTAGTAGAATGGATCACAAAACAAGACCCAACAATATGCTGCCTACAGGAGACGCATTTGATACGAAAAGACATACATAGGCTGAAGGTGAAAGGTTGGGAAAAATCATATCACTCATATGGACTTCGGAAACAAGCAGGCGTGTCCATACTCATATCAAATAAAATAGATTTCAAGCCAAAGTTAATCAAAAGGGATAAAGAAGGACACTACATACTGCTCAAGGGAACCATACACCAACAAGACATAACAATCATAAATATTTATGCCCCAAA